CCACCATGGCTGGCTAATTTTGTATTTTCAGTAGTGATGGGGTTTCTCCATCTTGGTCAGGCTAGTCTTGAACTCCTGACCTCAGTGATCCTCCCGCCTCAGCCTCCCAAGGTGCTGGGATTACAGGCATGAGCCGCCATGCCCAGCCTTTAATTTTTTTTTTTTGAGACACTCTTACTGTTTCCCAGGCTGGAGTACAGTAGCAGGATCACAGCTAAGTGCAGCGGCAACCTCCTGGGCTCGAGTGATTTTCCCACCTCAGCCTCTGGAGTAGCTGGGACTGGAGGAGTAGCCTGGCTAATGTTTATATATATATATATATTTATTTATTTATTTATTGAAACTCTCTTTGTCACCCAGGCTGGAGTGCAGTGGTCTCACTGCAACCTCCGCCTCCTGGAGTCAAGAGATTCTTGTGCCTCAGCCTCCTGAGTAGCTGGGGTTATAGGTGTGCACAACTATGCCCTGCTAATTTTTCTATTTTTAGTAAAGACCTGGTTTCTCCATGTTGGCCAGGGTGGTCTCGAACTCCTAACCTTGTGGTCTTCCTGCCCCGGCCTCCCAAAGTGCTAGGATAATAGGTGTGAGTCACCATGCCTGGCCTCATTGTTTTCAAAGTATGATATATTTTCAAATATTTCTCCTTTTACCCAAGATTTCATTAGATCTATATTTTTTAACCATTTAAAAATTGTTTCTCTATGAAATTGTGTTCAGTTTACATTGAGGACTGTGTGCTTTCTAGTCTTTATCATATATCAAAAACATTTTCTACTATGTGATACGATTTTAGGTTGTTTCAGTGTGTACTTGATAATGATATCAGGGACCTTTTTTCTTTACCCTAACATGAAAATTTAGTTGAAGTAGCCTATTCCATTTTCTTTTGTCATCAGAAAAAATGGTGATCTGTGAGCTTCTAAGTAAGTGTCTCCCTCAAGTTTCTCTGGTCCATAATATTCTCTACAGATGTTGAAGGGTGGAATGGATTGACTTGGAACCTTGGTTTAGCAGAGCCCATATGTTCATGAGAAAAGCATTTGCTCAGATCTCATTTCTACAGCTGCCTCTTTTTTAGTGTTTCAAAGACCTATTGCTATGTGTGCACAGTCGTGCATATTTTGAACATTTTTTTGGGAGTGAGTAATTATATGTTTGGGATTGGTGCCATCAGAACCTTACAACTTGAAAGAAGTTTGCTTTGCTCAGGTATATAAAAGATAGTCCTGGAATTTTTGTTTGTTTTTCTTTGAGATGGAGTCTTGCTCTTTCGCCCAGGCTGGAGTGCAGTGGCATGATCTCAGCTCACTGCAACCTCCACCTACCGGGTTCAAGCAATCCTTTTGCCTCAGCCTCTCAAGTAGCAGGGACTGTAGGCGTGAATCCCCAAACCTGGCTAATTTCTGTATTTTTAGTAGAGATGGGATGTCACCATATTGGCCAGGATAGTCTCGAACTCCTGACCTCGTGATTCACCCAGTTTGTCCTCCCAAAGTGTTGGGATTACAGGTATGAGCTACCTTGTCTGGCTGCCTTTTTTTTTTTTTTTTTTTGTAAGATCAAGTGTTACCCTATCACCCAGGCTGGAATGCAGTGGCACAATCTTAGATCACTGCAACCTCTGCCTCCCAGCCTCAAGTGATCTTGCATCATCCTCCCAGTAACTGGGACCACAGATGCATGCCATGAGCTCTGGCTAATTTTTTATTTTTGATAGAGATGGGGTTAACTATGTTGCCCACGTTGGTTTCAAACTTCTAGGCTCAAGTGGTCTGCCTGCCTCAACTACCCAAAGTGTTGGGATTACAAGGGTGAGTCACCACTCCTGGCTGGTCTTGGAATTTTTTAGAGGGGAAGACCAAGGCAGCCTATTGGGCCTTCCAGGCCATCACATGGGAATCAGCCACACCTCCTTCCTCCTCACCTCGGAGCTTCTCAGGATAACTTGGGGAGATGTCTCCCGCCGTGAGCCTCGGTGAGCCCACCTGGAACATAGAGGTGAGGAATACGACCAGGAAAGCTCAGTCAGAGTGACACTGACCCCTGAAATGACTGACAAAATACAGTGAGTGGCTTTTCTTCTGGGAGAGGTTACTGCTCATTTTAAACTCAAATTTCTTTTTTTTTTTTTTTTTTTTTTGAGACAGAGTCTGGCTCTGTCACCCAGGCTGGAGTGCAGTGGCCGGATCTCAGCTCACTACAAGCTCTGCCTCCCAGGTTTACGCCATTCTCCTGCCTCAGCCTCCCAAATAGCTGGGACTACAGGCGCCCGCCACCTCGCCCGGCTAGTTTTTTGTATTTTTAGTAGAGACGGGGTTTCACCGTGTTAGCCAGGCTGGTCTCGATCTCCTGACCTCATGATCCGCCCGTCTCGGCCTCCCAAAGTGCTGGGATTACAGGCTTGAGCCACCGTGCCCGGCCTTAAACTCAAATTTCAAGTGGATTCCAGCTCTCCAAGATGAGCAAAAACAGGGGATTAGACTCAAATCACCTTGAACCTTATCATCTCAGAGCTTTCAGCCACCTACACGACTCCGTGTCCCCTGCAGGCCTCGCCACTGAGCTCTACAATCCTGTGTCCAATTGTCTCCTCAGCTCTCTCCTGGGACATCAAACAGGCATCCCCACCTTCAGGTGTCCATAAGTGACTTCCTAAATCCCCAAACACATTCCCTTGCAGTCTGCACAGCTCAGTTGAGAGTGACTGTGTTCTTCCAGAAACTTAGCCGAACTTGACAGTATGTGTTTTAAATATGGGAAATAAATTACATTATTTGTAAGTGTTGTAATTTATAATATAAAGAGAAACTTACATGTATATGTGAAAAGAGTGAGAAGATACATCACTTCCAATTTTTTTTTTTTTTTAAGACAAATTTTCACTCTTGTGGGCCAGGGGGAGTGCAATGGCACGATCTCGGCTCACTGCAACCTCTGTCTCCTGGGGTCAAGGAATTCTCCTGCTTCAGACTGCCGAGTAGCTGAGATCATAGTTGACTTTCAAAATTCTTTTGGGTTGTGGGAGAAAAATGTTTGAAGACCGTATCCCTATGTGTCTGTGCCCCCAGGACCTCTCTGACCTCATCTACCTGTGCCCTCCTCTCTTCCACTGCTCCAGCCACATGGGTCGCTTTCCTTTTCCTGCTGCTGAGGTTGCTCCTGTCTCAGGGCCTTCGCTTGAGCTGTCCCTGTGTCTAGGACTCTCTGCCCCTCAGCTGCAAGTGACAAGCAGCCTTTCTTTGCTAGGTCTGTGTTCTGATATCATCTTCTCCGGGTTTCCTTTGTGATCTCCCACAGCCCCCCGTTTGACATTGCAGCTGTGAAACCAGAAAATCTTACACAGATCTCAGTTAATTTAGAAAGTTTATTTTGCCCAAGGTGGTCGGGGCAGAGCTTCATTTTACACATATTATGGAGACATGAGGCATCAGTCAGTACATGTAAGAAGTACATTGGTTTGGTCTGCATGGTGGCCAACTTTAAACAAAGGCAGGAAGACTTGAAGCAGGGCGGGGGCTTCCAGGTCACAGAGAACTGAGGCACAAATGGTTGCAATCTTCTGAGTTTCCTTTTTTTTTTTGAGATGAAGTCTCATTTTGTCACCCAGGCTGGAGTGCAGTGGCAGGATGTTGGCTCCCTGCAACCTCTGCCTCCTGGGTTCAAGTGATTCTCCTGCCACAGCTTCCCAAGTAGATGCCCCGATCATTTCTGTATTTTTAGTAGAGATGGGGTTTCACCATGCTGGCTGGGCTGGTCTCCATGTCTTGACCCCAAGTGATCTGCCTGCCTAGGCCTCCCGTAGTGCAGGGATGACAGACAGTCCTCAGCCACTGTACTGGGTCCTTCTTTTGAGTTTCTGATTAGCCTTTCAAAGGAGGCACTCAGATATGCATCTGTGTCAGGGAGCAGAGGGGTGACTTTGATTAGAAGGGGAGTCTTGTTCCCTAAGCAGTTTCCACCTTGACATTTCTCTTTTGCTTAGTGATTTGGGGCCCCAAGGTTTATTTTCCTTACAGCCCAACCTTCATCCCACCTCTGGTCCACATTTACTGTTCTGTGTGATTTTTTTTTTTTTTTTGAGACGGAGTCTTGCTCTGTCACCCAGGCTGGAGTGCAGTGGTGGGATCTCAGCTCACTGCAAGCTCCGCCTCCCGCTTCAAGCAATTCTCCTGCCTCAGGCTCCTGAATAGCTAGGATTACTGGTGCCCACCACCATGCCCAGCTAATTTTTTGTATTTTTAGTAGAAACAGTGTTTCACCATGTTGACCAGTCTGGTCTTGAACTCCTGACCCCGTGATCCACCCATCTCTGCCTCCCAAAGTGCTGGGATTATAGGCGTGAGCCACCGTGCCCGGCCTCACTGTGATTACTTTTGTGCCTTTGCCATCCACTGTCTGGATCCTGGTGAGAACAAGGCCCCAAGGGAAGAGCAGAGCCAGAACATGGGGCTGTGCTGGGCTCACCCCTCTGAGTGGAGCTCAACCCTGGCTTCACATTAGACTGCAGAGCATTTTACAAATAGAGCATTTGTGCTGCTTTAGCAGGGATTCTTATTCTGAAGGGATGGAGTCCACCCTCAGTAATAGCTGCAGTGGCCCAGGTGCTTGTCATCTGTGTGCAGCATTGAGCATCGAAGCTCTGTGTCCCCCGTTTCTGAGGGCTGAGCTCAGCCTGTGATCCACAGAGATGAGGGGCTGTTCTCTGGATGGGGTTTGGTCAGGGATGGGTCTGTATCCTGAAGGGGAGATCAGTCCAGCCCAGCTGCCCCCTGCTGCCTCGTGTGTGGGGGTTTCTCCAGGAGGGGAGTGAGATCTGAAGACCGGGGTCAAACGTACACTTACAGGTCTTCCTGTGGGACTTTCTTATCTCTGCATGGTCTCTGGTGCAGTGGGCAGTGGGGGACCATCTTTCTACAGGGTGAGGTCTCCCCTGTTCATGTGTTTTTGTCACAGGAAGGGAGTGAGTCATTTCTAACATGAAGTCTTTTTTTCACATACAGGATTGATTTCTAAAGACTCAGGTTACGTGAGGAAGCAGCTGAGAAGAGGAAAGGAAAGGAGCCAGGCATGGCCCTTCCTCAGGTGAAGTGATGTTCCTCTGGGGATTAATCTGTCTCTCTCCTTTCTGAAATGCCAGGTATTGTAGTAGCCAGTCTCTTCTGAGTCTGAAGCATTTTGCCTGACAGGTTCGCTCACACTCACCCATGCCTGCCCTCAATTCCTGTCACCTGCTCTGAGATTCTGTCTCCTGTGACCCAGTGACATGAACTTGGGAAGAGGCTCTACTGGGCATGGTTGTGGGAAGGGCTCACACCCCATCTCTACTAAAAATACAAAAATTAGCTGCATGTGGTGGTGCATATCTGTAATCTCAGCTACTCAGGAGGCTCAGGCAGGAGAATCACTTGAATCCGGGAGGTGGAGGTTACCGTACACTGAAATTGTGCCACTGCATTCCAGCCTGGGAAATGGCGTGAGACTCTGTCTCAAAAGAAAAAAGAGAGAGAGAGAGAAGGTGTCACTCTGTGGCTTTGTTCTGGAGTACAATGGCACAATTCAGGGTTTACAGCAGCCTCAAACTCCTGGGCTCAACTAATCCCTAATTTAACCCCCCAAAGAGCCTGAATAATAGACATGGGTCACCGTATGTATGTATGTATGTATGTACATATTTCTTTATTTTAAGATGGAGTCTCACTCAGTCACTAAAGCTGGAGTGCAATGGTACCATCTCGGCTCAATTTAACCTCCCCCTCCCAGTTTCAAGCAGTTCTACCTCAGCCTCCCAAGTTGCCTGGACTACAGACACGCACCACCACACCCAGCTAATTTTTGTATTTTTAGTTGAGACAGGGTTTCATCATGTTGGTTAGGCTGGTCTGGAACTCCTGACCTCATGATCTGCCTGTCTCAGACTCCCTAAGTGTTGGGATTAAAGGTGTGGGCTACTGTGTCCGGCCTTATTTTTTATATTATATTTTTATTTTGTTGTCCAGGCGGGAGTGCATGGTGCAATCATAGCTCACTATAGCCTTGATATCCTGGCCTCAAGTGATCCTCCTGTCTTGGCCTCCCAAATTGCTGACATTCTTGATGGCAGATAGCCAGCCCGGCCTGACTCTGCACGTTTTTGAGATGGAGTCTCGCTCTGTTGCCCAGGTTGGATTGCAGTGGCATGATCTCAGCTCACTGTAACCTCTGCCTTCTGGCTTCAAGCAATTCTTTTGCCTCAGCCTCCCGAGTAAGGCATTTGCTGCCACGCCTTGCTATTTTTTTTTTTTTTTTTGGAGACAGAGTCTTGCTCTGTCACCCAGGCTGGAGTGCAGTGGCGCAATCGCAGCTCACTGCAAACTCTGCCTCCTGGGTTCATGCCATTCTCCTGCCTCAGCCTCCTGAGTACCTGGGACTACAGGTGCCCACCACCACTCCCGGCTAATTTTTAAAAAATTTTTAATAGAGACAGGGTTTTACCGTGTTAGCCGTGATGGTCTAGATCTCCTGACCTCATGATCCGCCTGCCTCGGTCTCCTAAAGTGTTGGGATTACAGGCGTGAGCCACCGCGCCCAGTCTTTTTTTTTTGTATTTTTAGTAGAGATGGAGTTTCACCATATTGGTCAGGCTGGCTGAACTCCTGATCTTGTGATTCTTCCAGCTCGGCCTCCCAGAGTGCTGGGATTATAGGCCTGAGCCACTGTGCTTGGCCAAACTCTGCACTTTTAATGACTCATGGTGGAATGGGAAGTGGAGATAGGCATCAGTGGTACAGGATGCTTTATTATATCATTGATTTTATTTTATTTTATTTTATTTTTGAATTGGCTCTCATTCTTTCACCCAGACTGGAGTGCAGTGGTGTGATTTCGTTTCCCTGTAGCCTCTGACTCCCGGATTACAGTGATTCTTTTGCCTCAGCCTCTCGGGTAGCTGGGATTAGAAGTGCACACCACCACGGGTATAATGGCATGATGTGTGTGCATGAACACATAGATGGATAAGCCCATGGTTTATGTAGGAAACACATTTGCAATAAGTTTTATTTTTTATAATAATTGTAATGATTTTAAGTATTTTTCATTGTTGTCAACTATCATCATAATGAGTTAATAGTAAGAAGGGGCCAGGCTTGGTGGCTCACGCCTTTAATCCCAGCACTTTGGGAGGCTGAGGTGGATAGATCAAGATGTCAGGAGTTCAAGACCAGCCTGGCTAAGATGGTGAAACCCCGTTGCTACTAAATATACAAAAATTAGATGGACACAGTGGCAGGTACCTCACACCCCAGCTACTGGGGAGTCTGAGGCCAGAGAATGGCTTGAACCTGGGTGGCACAGGTTGCAGTGAGCTGAGACATTGTGCCACTGCACTCCAGCCTGTGCAATAGAGTGAGACTGTCTGGGAAAAAAATAAAATAAGAAGTATCGTGAAGGATTATGTGCATGCCTGTGTGTGTCCATTCAGTGACCTTGTAGGATGCTCCATGTTCTTACCCTTGGACCTTTATCACATTCTCTCCACTGGATAGACTTGTGTCAGTGTCAGTTTAGTTTAAAGCTGTGTCTGTTACTTAGGTGTTTATGTTCACATGTGAATCCCAGACATCTGGATTCGGGTGCTCGTGTTGATATTTTTAGCTATTTGATTTGTGGCAAGTTTCCTATAGTGTGTGTGATGCAGCTGTCTCCAAGTACAGATCTTTCTTCATGGGATAGTATGTTATTTTGTGGCCTAAGACACGGGAAGCACTTAGAACAGTGTGTAGCACATGTGAAGCATTCAAAAATGTTAGTCATGGCTATTGCTGTGATCATGACAGTTTTTTTTTTTTTTTTTTTTCTTGGAGATGGAGTATTGCTCTGTCACCCAGGCTGAAGTGCAGTGGCATGATATTGGCTCACTGCAACCTCTGCCTCCTGGTTTCAAGCAATTCTCTGGCCTCAGCCTCCTGAATGTCGGGGATTACAGACACCCACCACCACGCCCAGCTAATTTTTGTATTTTTAGTAGAGAAGAGTTTTCAGCATGTTCCCCGACTGGTCTCGAACTCCTGACCTCATGATCCACCTACCTCAGCCTCGCAAAGTGCTGGGATTACAGGCATGAGCCACTGTGCCTGACCAATCATGATAGTTTTTAGATTCATACTTTTCTTTCAAAGACATTGCACTTTGTCCTCTCTGAAACAGCACTTGTGTTTTAGCTCACCTAGAGACTAAATGTCACCTGTATGTGGAACGTAATATCTGACATATCTGTAGAGAAAACTCTGTGTTTGTTTGTTTTTTTTTTTTTTGAGATGGAGTCTTTCTCTGTTGTCAGGCTAAAGTGCAGTGGTGCGATCTCGGCTCACTGCAACCTCTGCCTCCCAGATTCAAGCGATGCTCCTGCCTCAGCCTCTTGAGTAGCTGGGAGTACAGACCCACAACATGACACCCAGCTAATTTTTTGTATTTTTAGTAGAGACGTAGTTTTGTCATGTTGGCCATGATGGTGTCAATCTCTCGACCACATTATTTGCCTGCCTTGGTCTCCCAAAGTGCTGGGATTACAGGCGAGAGCCACTGCCCATCACTGCTTTTTTTTTTTTTTTTTAGATGGAGTATCAGTCTGTTGCCCAGGATGGAGTACAGTGGTGCACAATTGGCTCACCGCAGCCTCCATCTCCTGGGTTCAAGTGATTCTCCTGCCTCAGCCTCCTATGTAGCTGGGATAACAGGTGCCTGCCACCACGCCCGGCTAATTTTTATATTTTTAGTAGAGACAAGTTTTCACCACGTTGGCCATGCTGCTCTTGAACTCTGGACCTCAAATAACCTGTGTTGGCCTTCTGAAGTTTTGGGTTTACAGTCATGAACCACCACGCCTGACCCTGTGTTTCCTTTTTATTTATATAGTTTTTATATTGTCCATAAAATCCAGACTTCCCTAATGACTGATGGGATCTTAACATCTTTCAAGGAAAAGTATAATAAAATGCAACTATAGGGAAAAAATATTCAAAAATACCTTAACTTGGTTTTGTCAGAACATGGTCTTTGATCAAATACATACTTTTTTTCTCTTTTCTCATTTCCTGTGAAGGTGATAACTCCTCCATAATGTTTTGTGGAAATGTGTGTTTCATTTTAGGGACGCTTGACTTTCAGGGATGTGGCTATAGAATTCTCATTGGCAGAGTGGAAATGCCTGAACCCTGCGCAGAGGGCTTTATACAGGGAAGTGATGTTGGAGAACTACAGGAACCTGGAGTCTGTGGGTGAGGAAAATGTCCCTGTAGGCCTGAGGAGTCTGCTGTTGTCTATCTTGGCTCTTCCTGGTTTTGTATTCTCTTTTGTGATTTTGCCCCATACATGTTTGTTTTTGTTTTTGTTTTTGTTTTTTGAGGTGGCGTTTCACTCTTGTTGTCCAAGCTGGAGTGCAATGGTGTGATCTTGGCTCACCATAACCTCCGCCTTCCAGGTTCAAGCGATTCTCCTGCCTCAGCCTCCCAAATAGCTGGGATTACAGGCATGTGCCACCATGCCCAGCTAATTTTGTATTTTTAGTAGAGACAGGGTTTCTCCATGTTGGTCAGGCTCATATCTAACTCCTGACATCAGATGATCCACCCACCTTGGCTTCCAAAACTGCTGGGTTTACAGGCATGAGCCACCGTGCCCAGCTCATTCTGGTTTTTGAGAAGCATCACAGAAGCATCTCTCACTGGCACTGTAACAATGTTCATCTCATAAACTAATGATCATGTTCTCTAAGTAGCAGTCAGTGGTGTTGAAATTCCTCCCAGCAAGGACGTCATTCGGGCTCACAGCCTCCTATGTATGAGGCTCTTCAATGAACTCTTGCTCATTTCACATTTTCATACCAATATGTGTCATTGTTTTTTTTTTTTTTTTTTTTTTGAGACGGAGTCTCTGCCGCCCGGGCTGGAGTGCAGTGGCCGGATCTCAGCTCACTGCAAGCTCCGCCTCCCAGGTTTACGCCATTCTCCTGCCTCAGCCTCCCGAGTAGCTGGGACTACAGGCGCCCGCCACCTCGCCCGGCTAGTTTTTTGTATTTTTTAGTAGAGACGGGGTTTCACCGTGTTAGCCAGGATGGTCTCGATCTTCTGACCTCGTGATCCGCCCGTCTCGGCCTCCCAAAGTGCTGGGATTACAGGCTTGAGCCACCGCGCGGCCGTCATTGTTCATTTTTAACAAGAAAACCTCTGTTCAGTTTTTTGTAGGATCAACCCTGTAGCAGATATGGTTTTAATCAATGTTGTTGAGGGAGGTTGTGAGATTGAATGAGGTTTCCATAGTTTAATTCTACTGTCATTTCCTTAAGATACACAGTGGCTTTCAAGTTGCTCGTTTCTATGGTTTTTTTTTTGTTTGTTTGTTCGTTTGTTTTGAGTCAGAGTCTCTTGAGTGCCGTGGTGTGATCTTGGCTCACTGCAACCTCCACCTTTTGGGTTGAAGTGATTCTCCTGCCTCAGCCTCTTGAGTGGCTGGGATTACAGGCATGTGTCACCACACTCGACTAATTTTTGGTAGTTCTATTCCAGATGGTGGTTTCACCATGTTGGCCAGGCTGGTTTTGATAGCCTCGTCTGACGTGATTCGGTTGCCTTGGATTCCCAAAGTGCTGGGATTACAGGCATGAGCCACTGCCTATCCGAGTTTGTTTTTAATGCTGAATACTATTCCATTTTATGTGTGTACCACATTTTCCTCATATATTTTTCTGTTGATGGATATCTGGGTTGGTTTTTTCTCTTTACTATTATAAATAATACTGCCAGGCTGGGTGCGTTGGCTCATGTCTATAATCCCAGCCCATTGGAAGGCTGAGGTGGGTGGATCACCTGAGGTCAGGAGTTTGAGACCAGCTTGGCCGACATGGTGAAACCACATTTTTTTAAAGGTATAGTTTCTTTTTTTTTAAGATGGTGTATTGCTCTGTCACCCAGGCTGGAGTGCAGTGGTGCAATCTCAGCTCACTGCAACCTCTGCCTCCCAGGTCAAGCAATCTCCTACCTGAGCCTTCTGAGTAACTGGGATTACAGATGTGCACCACCATGCCCGGCTAATGTTTTCTATTTTTTTAGTAGAGACAGTGTTTCACCATGCTGGCCTGGCTGATCTCAAACTCCTGACCTCGTGATTCACCCTCTCGTCCTCCCAATGTGCTGGCATTACAGACGTGAGCCACTTCACTCAGCCTGGCTCTGTTTTCACAAACACATCTCTACCTACTCAGCCAGAGGATCCTTGTTCACCCCTGTGGTCTCCTGCATTGCTGTATTGTACTCTTCATAGTTTACTTGTTTTGTGTGTGTGTGTGTGTGTGTGTGTGTGTGTATGTATTTCTGGAATCTACACAAGGGATTTTGTTGAGTATATTCTTGAAACTAGGAATCAGAGGCATTTAACTTAATAGATGTAAAACTGCTTTCACCTCAGGCCACCATACTGCTGCTTGTTTGGATCTCGTTCATTCTTGTCCCTTGCCCATATTGTAATTTACATAGTTAACCTTGGGTCAATATTTTACCATTGCTAAATTAGTTCCACTTTCCTCCAAGCTCAAGATTTGGTCTATCCTAGTGGAATTCTATTCCCACAGATGTGCACGCACAAAGTTCGCTCCTACGTGCCAATTACTTCCTGCCTTCCACACTTACCCTTCCTTTCCTGGCCTTGCCTCAGGTGATACATTGATCTGGATGCAAATACAGTTTCTTTCCAGTCTATTGATTTTGTAATGCTGAATACCCCAATTTCCCTGTGAGCCCCTCTCCTCCAGCACTACTCTCACTGAGTAAGTCAAGACCTTGTTCATCCACTGGACAAAATTATAGGAGGCTGCCTGAATCAATGCCTGCAGGGCATGATGACTCAGCACATGGTCCATGAGGGATGACTTGGCACCACTGTAAGCAGCACAGCTCAGCCCTTTTGTCCCAGCTCAGCCCTTGTATCCCCCTTGGTGTACTTCTTTCTGTTCTGCTTGTATTTTCTGTGTGCAGTCATTTACTGTAATGCCTGGGCTGACTATTGTGCCTAAGTAGATGTTGTGGGATCCTTCAGGTCCAGGATCAAGTCTTGTCCCTCACTTACCGTATGTGCAAATTGGGATCATGTACATGAACACTGTGGGCCTGCTGTCGTTATTTGAGAAATTATGTTAATTTGCCTCCAGGGTTTTTGGTTTTTTTTTTTCTTTGAGATGGAGTTTTGCTCCTGCTGCCCAGGCTGAAGTTCAATGGCAGAATCTCAGTTCATTACAACCTCCACCTCCCGGGTTCAAGTGATTCTCCTGCCTTAGCCTGCCAAGTAGCTGGGATTACAGGCATGTGCTACCACACTGGCTAATTTTGTATTTTTAGTACAGATGAATTTTCCCCATGTTGGCTAGGCTTGTCTCGAATTCCTGACCTCAATGATCTGTCTATCTCAGCCTCCCAAAGTGCTGAGATTACCGGCATCAGCCACTGTACCCGGCCTCTTTTTTTTTTTCTTTTTCTTTTAATGGAGCTTCCCTTTACTTGCCCAGGCTGGAGTGCAATGGTGCAATCTCTGCTCACCGCAACCTCCACTTCCTGGGTTCAAGTGACTGTCCTGCCTCAGGCTCCTAAGTATTTGGGATTATGCCTGGCACAAACCTGGCTAATTTTTGTATTTTTAGGAGAGAGGGGGTTTCTCCATATTAGTCAGGCTGGTCTCGAACTCCCCACCTCAGGTGATTTCGTTCACCTGCTTTTTAAAACAAGTGAATACTATTAGATGACTTCATATACATTTTATACTACAGTCTCAACTTCCTTTGTTTAATAAGATTTGTCAGCCTTCAGTGATGTTAATGATGAGATGCCCATTTTCCTGTCTCACTCATCTCACTGTTCTGTCAGAAATAGCTTAGACTGGCCAGCTGCAGTGACTTTCACCTCTAATTCCAGCACTTTGAAAGGCTGAGGTGGGTAGATGTCTTGAGGTCAGGAGTTTGAGACCAGTCAGGCAAACATAATGAAATCTTGAATCTACTAAATTAAAAGAAATTGGACGGGCATGATGGTTCATGCCTATAATCCCAAAATTTTGGAAGGCCGAGACAGGCGGATCACCTGAGGTCAGAAGTTCAAGACCAGCCTGGCCAACATGGTGAAACCCTGTCTGTAGTAAAAATACAAAAATTAGCTGGGTGTGTTGGTATGCACCTGTAATCCCAGCTTCTTGTGAGACTGAGACAGAAGAATCACTTGAACCTGGGAGGTGGATGTAGCAGTGAACCATGATCGTGCCACTGCACCCCAGCCTGGGTGACAGAGTTAGATTCCATTTCCCAAAAAAAAGAAAACAACAACAACAACAAAAAACAAATTAGTCAGCATGGTGCATGTGTCTGTAGTTCCTGCTACTCAAGAGGCTGAGGCACGAGAATCTCTTTAGGGAGGAGAATCGTGCCACTACACTCCAGCCTGGGTGATGAAGCATTACTTGATCTCAAAAACAGACAAAAAAAGAAATAGCTTAAACTGGAAAGCTTAAGACATAGCAATTTATTTCTCATGAATCTGGAAAGTGGAAAATCCAAGAGCAAGATGTCAGCTAGATTGGTTCTTGGTGAGAGCCTTCTTCATATAAATATGAAGTGTCATACTGAAGTGTCACATTTACACACTTCAGTATGATTTACCGTCTGTAGTTAATTAGAAACCTATTGGTGTTTATATTTTGTAGATATCTCTTCCAAATGCATGATGAAGGAGATCTTGTCAACAGGGCAGGGCAATACGGAAGTGTTCCACACAGGGACATTGCAAAGACATGAAAGTCATCACATTGGAGATTTTTGCTTCCAGGATATTGAGAAAGAAATTCATGACATTGATTTTCAGTGTCAAGAAGATGAAAGAAATGGCCATGAAGCACCCATGACAAAAATTAAAATGTTGACTGGGAGTACAGACCGATATGATCAAAGGCAAGCTGGAAACAAGCCTATTAATGATCAGCTTGGATCATGCTTTCATTCGCATCTGCCTCAACTCCACTTATTTCAGATCAAAGGTATAATTGCTAATCAACTTGAGAAGTCTACCAATGACGCTCCCTCACTTTCAACATTCCAAAGAATTTCCTGTAGGCCCCAAATCCATATTTCTAATAACTATGAGAGTAATTCCCCAAATTCTTCACTACTCGCACAAAAACAGAAAGTACACATGAGAGAAACATCTTTCCAATGTAATGAGAGTGATAAAGCCTTTAATTGTAGCTCAGTCTTAAGGAAACACCAGATAATCCATTTAGGAGACAAACAATATAAATGTGATGGAGTAAAACCTTACAAGTGTATTGAGTGTGGCAAGATCTTTGGTCATAATTCAGCCCTTGTAATTCATAAGGCAATTCATAGTGGAGAGAAACCTTACAAGTGTAATGAATGTGGCAAGACTTTTAATCAACAATCACACCTTTCACGTCATCATAGACTTCATACTGGAGAGAAGCCTTACAAATGTAAGGTTTGTGACAAGGCTTTCACGTGTCATTCCTACCTGGCAAACCATACTAGAATTCATAGTGGAGAGAAACCTTACAAGTGTAATGAGTGTGGCAAGGCTTTTAACCAACAATCAAACCTTGCACGTCATCATAGACTTCATACTGGAGAGAAACCTTACAAATGTGAAGAATGTGACAAAGTTTTCAGTCAGAAATCAACCCTTGAGATACATCAGAGAATTCACACTGGAGAGAAACCATACAAATGTAAGGTTTGTGACACAGCTTTCACGTGTAATTCACAGCTGGCACGACATAGAAGAATTCACACTAGAGAGAAAACTTACAAGTGTAATGTGTGTGGCAAGACCTTCATTCACATGTCATACCTCATATGCCATCGTAGAGTTCATAGTGGTGAGAAACCTTACAAGTGTAATGAGTGTGGAAGGACCTTCAGTCACAGGTCATACCTTGTATGCCATCGTAGAGTTCATAGTGGAGAGAAACCTTACAAGTGTAATGAATGTGGCAGGACCTTCAGTCACAGGTCATCCCTTGTATGCCATCGTAGACTTCATAGTGGTGAGAAACCTTACAAGTGTAATGAGTGCAGCAAGACCTTCAGTCGCAGGTCATCCCTCCTATGCCATCGTAGACTTCATAGTGGTGAGAAACCTTACAAGTTTAATGAGTATGGCAATAACTTCCATCACTGGTCATCCCTTGTATATCATCGTAAACGTCATACTGGAGAGAAATCTTACAAATGTACAGTTTGTGACAAGGCTTTCGTGCGTAAGTCAGTCCTAGCAATACATACTAGAATTCACAGTGCAGAGAAACCTTACAAGTGTAATGAATGTGGGAAGGCTTTTAAGCAACAATCACACCTTTCACGTCATCATAGAATTCATACTGGAGAGAAACCTTACAAATGTGAAGCATGTGACAAAGTTTTCAGTCGCAAATCAACCCTTGAGACACATAAGAGAATTCACACTGGAGAGAAACCGTACAAATGTAAGGTTTGTGACACAGCTTTCACGTGGAATTCACAGCTGGCACGACATACCAGAATTCACACTGGAGAGAAAACTTACAAGTGTAATGAGTGTGGCAAGACTTTCAGTCACAAGTCATCCCTTGTATGCCATCGAAGACTTCATGGTGGAGAGAAATCTTACAAATGTACAGTTTGTGACAAGGCTTTCACGTGTCGTTCCTACGTGACAAAACATACTAGAATTCATAGTGGAGAGAAACCTTACAAGTGTAATGAGTGCGGCAAGACCTTCAGTCACAGGTCATCCCTTGTATGCCATCATAGACTTCATAGTGGTGAGAAACCTTACAAGTGTAATGAGTGCGGCAAGACCTTCAGCCAGAAGGCATCCCTTCTATGCCATCGTAGACTTCATAGTGGTGAGAAACCTTACAAGTGTAATGAGTGTGGAAATACCTTCCGTCACTGGTCATCCCTTGTATGCCATCGTAGACTTCATAACGGAGAGAAATCTTACAAATGTACGGTTTGTGACAAGGCTTTCGTGCGTAATTCACTCCTGGCAAGACATACTACAATTCACACTGCAGAGAAACCTTACAAGTGTAATGAATGTGGGAAGGTTTTTAATCGACAGTCACACCTTTCAAGTCATCATAGAATTCATACTGGAGAGAAACCTTACAAATGTGAAGCATGTGACAAAGTTTTCAGTCGCAAATCACACCTTAAAAGGCATAGTAGAATTCACACTGGAGAGAAACTTTTTAAGTGTAGTGAGTGTGGCAAAGCCTTTAGTGAGCAGTCAGTGCTTATTCACCATCAGGCAATTCATGGTTTAGGGAAAGTTGACTAATGTAATTGTGTCCGGAATTGGTGGGTTCTTGGTCTCACTGAGTTCAATAATGAAGCCACGGATCCTTGCGGTGAGTGTTACAGTACTTAAAGATGGTGTATCCGGAGTCTGTGCTTTCAGATGTTCGGATTTGTCCACAGTTTCTTTCTTCTGGTGGGTGCATGGTCTCACTGACTTCAGGAGTGAAGCTTCAGACCTTTGCAATGAGTGTTATAGCTCATAAAGGCAGCGTGGACCCAAAGAGTGAAGCAGCAGCAAGATTTATTGTAAAGAGTGAAAGAACAAAGGTTCCACAGTGTGGAAGGGGACCCTAGCAGGATGCTACTGCTGGCTGGGGCAGCCTGCTATTATTCCCTTATTTGACCCCTCCCACATCATACTGATTGGTCCATTTTACAGAGCGCTTATTGGCCCACTTTACAGAGAGCTGATTGATCCATTTTTACAGGGTGCTGATTGGTGTGTTAATAAACCTTTAGCTAGATACAGAGTGCTGATTGGTGCATTTACAATCCTTTAGCTAGACACAGAGTACTAGACAGAAAAGTTCTCCAAGTCTCCACTAGATTAGCTAGATACAGAGTGCTGATTGGTGCATCCACAAACACTGAGCTAGACACAGAGTACTGATTGGAGCATATACAATCTTCTAGCTAGACATAAAGTTCTCCAAGTCCCCACCCGACTCAGGAGCCCAGCGGGCTTTGCCTAGTTGATGTTGCGCTGGGGTCGCAGGCAGAGCTGTCCCTCAGTCCCGCACGTCCACACTCTTCAGCCCTTGGGTGGTCGATGGGACTCGGAGCCATGGAGCAGGGGGCGGTGCCTCTTGGGGAGGCTCGGTCCACGGGGGAGCCCACAGGGCGGGGTTGGGCTCAGGCATGGTGGGCTGTAGATCCTGAGCCCTGTCCCATGGGGAAGCACTGAGGCCCCGTGAGAATTCAAGCATGGCGTAGTTGGGCTGGCAGTACTGGGGGACCTGGCGCACCCTCCTCAGCTCCTGGCCCAGGTGCTAAGTCCCTCACTGCCCGGGGCTGGCGGTGCCAGATACCTGCTCCAAGTGTGGGGCCCGCCAAGCCCATGCCCACCTGGAACTCTCTGTGAGCGCCGTGCACTGCCCCAGTTCCCACCTGTGCCTCTCACTCCACACCTCCCCACAAGCAGAGGGAGCTGGCTCCAGCCTCAGCCAGCCCAGAAGGCGCTCCCACAGTGCAGTGGCGGGCTGAAGGACTCCTCAAGTACTACCAGAGTGGACATAGGCTGAGGAGGCGCCGAGAGTGGGGGCTGCTAGTGCACTGTCACGTCTCATGATGTTTGTCACAAAGTCTTCAGTAATGCTACAACCATTGCAAATCATTGGAGAACCCATAATGAAAAGAGATCTTACAAGTGTAATAAACGTGGCAAATTTTTCAGACACAGTTCATACATTGCAGTTCATCAGCAAACTCATACCACAGAGAAACCTTACAAATGTCATGACTGTGGCAGGGTCTTCAGTCAAACTTCATCCTATGCAAAACAGGAGAATTCATACAGAAGAGAAAGCTCACAACTGTGGTGATTGTGGCAGAGCGTTTACTTCATGTTCACACCTCATTAGACATCAGAGAATCCATACTGTACAGAAATCTTACAAATGTCATCAGTGTGGCAAAGGCTTCAGTCCGAGGTCACTCGGACTGTCAGTAGGAAATTAAATATTTCAAACATCAAATATTTCAAATTTAAAGCTACAGACTTTTAAGTAATTCTGAGCCTTGAGAGGAACATGGTCATGCAACCTGAGTCCAGTGGCATGCAGGCTCAACTTCTACATGTTTTCCTGACCAGGCACGGTGGCTCACACCTGTAATCCCAGCACTTTGGGAGACTGAGGTGGGCGGATCACCTGATGTCAGGAATTATAAACCAGCCTGGCCAACATGGGGAAACCCCGTCTCTACTGAAAACACAAAGCCATTAGCTGGGCATGGTGGTGCACGCCTGTATTTTCAGCTACTTGGGAGGCTGAGGCAGGAGAACTGCTTGAATCCAGGACGTGGAGGTTGTAGTTAGCCAAGATCGTGCCACTGTACTCTAGCCTGGGCAACAGAGCAGGACTCCGTAACAAAACAAAACAAAATGTGCTATACAATTGAGTTTCCTAATATCAATTAAAATTTTTTTCATGTAAATAAGAAAGCTAAGCAGTCCCAGAGATAAGACCTCCTGGCATCATTGTCCCTTCTTACAGAGTGATAATGTAACTTTCCTTGAAGTGTATCAGTCTGTCACCAATCAAGCTACTGCAACCTATGCATTGGACTTGAATGGAAAAAGTGGTGATTCTGCTAAAGCTTCTCATCTTTCCTTATCTGTGTGAAACATTAATGTCTCTACTTCGGAACACTGACCCCATTCATTTGGAGTTGAGGTTTCCAGGTGGCTATTCTCATGCTTTGTGTTCAAATAAACTCTATAATTAATAATTGTCAGGCCTCTGAGCCCAAGCCAAGCCATCGCATCCCCTGTGACTTGCATGTATACGCCCAGATGGCCTGAAGTAACTGAAGAATCACAAAAGAAGTGAAAATGCCCTGTCCCTGCCTTAGCTGATGACATTCCACCACAAAAAAAGTGAAAATGGCCAGTCCTTTCCTTAAGTGATGACATTACCTTCTGAAATTCCTTTTCCTGGCTTATCCTGGCTCAAAAGCTCCCCCACTGAGCACCTTGTGACCCCCACCACTCCTGCCCGCCAGAGAACAACCTCCTTTGACTGTAATTTTCCTTTACCTACCCAAATCCTATAAAATGATCCCACCCTTATCTCCCTTCGCTGACTCTCTTTTCGGACTCAGCCCTCCTGCACCCAGGTGATTAAAAAGCTTTATTGCTCACACAAAGCCTGTTTGGTGGTCTCTTCAAATGGACGCGCATGACAATAATGTATTCTAAATTTTATTATTTCCTGCTGACATCAGTTTCTGTCGGATTGTAGGAGCCTCACCAGAGAGGGCACCTGTCGCCATGTTGTAAAACACATTTGTCAAAAAGACATGGGTTAGGGTTTCTCCCCCTCCCTCTGGATGAAGCTAATTAGCTGACACAGATAGTCACCTCCATTACCAAGTAGAGCCAGGATGAACTATGTGTGATCAAGGGTGTTGTCAAGTCCTCTTCCCTGAGGACTGATTGGTGTTTATCTTGAAAACATGAACTTGGGTTGTACAGAACAGTTAAGTTTCTTTCTCTCTTTTTAACCTCTCAACTGTTCTCTATTTCCCATCACATTCTGGTATAAGGCTTATTTATTAATACAACAGTTTTTATTTCTTTCGCTGTTATCGTCGTGAAGATGATATCTCATTTAAGGGAAGATTTTTTAGTTTTCAATTATATTTTCTCAACATTTAAAAGCGAAGTGAAGAGTATTTCTTGGGCCAGGCACAGTGGCTCACTCCTGTAATACCAGCATTTCAGGAGGCCGAGGCAGGCAGATCACTTCAAGTCAGGAGTTTGAGACCAGCCTGACCAACATGGTGAAAACGCGTCTTTACAAAAAATACAAAAATTAGCCGGGTGTGGTGGCGCGCGCCTATAATGCCAGCTATTCCGGAGGCCGAGGCAGGAGAATCGCTTGAACCCAGGAGGCAGAGGCTGCACTGAGCCGAGATCTAGCCACTACACTCCAACCTGGGCGACAGAGAAATACTCTGTCTCAAAAAAAATAAATAAATAAATAAATAAAAAAAAAAGGAAAAGAAAAGAAAGAAAAGAAATTTAAAAAGAAAGTAATAGATCTCTTCCACAAATGTGCTAGGACAATTAACTGAATAACCACATGGAAACGAATAATGTTGGATCCCTATCTCACACAATCAAAATTTTATTTTAAAAATTAAAAGAGACAAGGAGGGGAGCCCTGCGGGAGGTGTGACTTTGTCGCCCAGGCTGGCCTGGACCCCCAGGCTCAGCGATCCTCCCGCCCCTGGGTCCTCAGGCTCCTGCCCACCCGGCCGCATGCCTGCTGTGTTTAAGCAGCAGGTGGTGACCTCACTCCTCCCTGGCCTGAGCCCTCCATCGCGCATCCCATGCAGGGGTCCTCGGGAAGTCTCTGAAGCTGAGCACAGGGTGAACTCTCCCTTCTGAGTGAATGGAGAGTAGAAAGGGAGAGGATTTCTATTCTGTTCTCTGGGCCGTCAGCATGAAATTGTACGTTCTGCCCAGGCAGGGTTTTGCATTTCACATTCTAGTTTGCAACCCCGTTCCAGACAATTCCAGGGCTTTTGAATCTTGCTTCAGCCTTCCTGACCTCTCTGGCATCCAAAGTCCCAAAAATAGAGTCGCTGGGAGCGAGGCTGAGGGACCTGTCCCGCCCCTGCCCCGCCCTCTGCTGGTTCTAAAGGGCGAGGTCTCTCCGCCTGGGGCCCCACCTCTACCTTGCTCAGGCCCAGCCCACTTTCTCGTTGGCTCCACCCAGGCCTGGCTTTAGTCCTGTGCGCACAGATGCGCGCAGACCAGGAAGCAGATCTCCTAGAGTGAAAATCGCGCCGCGGCGGTGAGTTTTGCTCTGTGTTGTATTAAGTGTGCACTCCGCAGGTCCCCAGCACTTCCGCACCTGGGACATGGGGTCCCCGCAGACCTGTAAATTCTCGCCCATCTTCCTTCAACCGGAGAAAATGCGGACATTCCTCTGGGAATTCGGAAGTCGCTTCCTTTTGTGCTTAAAGTCGACCTGAGACTGTTCCCGTCTCAGGTCTTCTGCTACAGGGCGATGTATACACTTCCTATCGTGTAGTTTTTGTGCTCAAAACCATTTTTTTTTTTTTTTTTTTTAAGACGGAGTCTTGCTCTGTAGCCCGGGCTGGAGTGCAGTGGCCAGATCTCAGCTCACTGCAAGCTCCCCCTCCCGGGTTCCCGCCATTCTCCTGCCTCAGCCTACGGAGTAGCTGGGACTACAGGCGCCCGCCACCTCGCCCGGCTAGTTTTTTGTATTTTTAGTAGAGACGGGGTTTCACCGTGTTAGCCAGGATGGTCTCGATCTCCTGACCTCGTGATCCGCCCGTCTCGGCCTCCCAAAGTGCTGGGATTACAGGCTTGAGCCACCGCGCCCGGCCTCAAAACCATTTTTTAACTCCTCCCTCCCCGCGCGTTTCAAAGTCCTCACCCCAGATGTGTATTTCCGACCTGGGCGCCTCCCAGCCTCACCCTTGAAGGCCCCTGAAGCGCAAATGCCTCCACCCCAGTCTCGGGGAGGCCACGTTCTCTGCCTGGTGCTGGGATATTGTGGACCCCACCCTTGTACGAAGGCGTCGTCACACCCCACCTCCCGCCTCATGCTGGGCCCTGCTGCACCCCAAGTCTCCCCTTAGCAGTCACCGCTTCTCCTGAGCCCGCGTTGGGGAGGTGCTCGGAGCCTGTCCTGTGACACGGGGTGTTCTTGCCTGCCCAGCTCCAGCCACTGAAAAATGAGCTGTTCAGGGATGCAGGCGTTTTACTCCAAACCCTCCTGTGATTGTGTTATGCCCAGACTGTTTGTTCCCCAAAGAAGACCACCAGAGTCCAGAGTCAAAGCCAAGCGGCAAGGATCTTTACTACAAGTTCGAACCTGGTCCCTCCTTTACACAGTATACAAGAGGGCCCTGAACAATGCGAGCGTTTGCTTTTTATAGCCCGAAAGTTGTAGGGGAACAAAGAAATTCTTTTGGCTCCTGCGCTTTCAGTAACCTTGAACGGCTGTCCCCTTATCGGAGACTTTCCAGGTGGTGTTTATACTGGGCTCAGGGAGTTTGAGAGATATATGGTGGTGGGATGGGAGGATGGGATGTGTTTGTGCTAGGCTCAGGGAGTTTTGAGCCCGGGGCTGAGGAATGTGCCCAGCTCCTTTCAATTGTGTGGGCCAAAAGGATCAGGAGACAGAGCAATAGAAAACCTGAGACAGAGAAAAGCAGAAAGTCCCATAACAGATAGCAAAGTAGAGGATGGTGAGGGATTTGTGAAGAGACAGCAAAAGTGAAAATAAAAAAGATAAGAAAGCGGGAGAAGAAATGTAGAGAAAAGCTACAAGAGACAGCAAAAGCGGGGGAAAAAAAGAAAAAAAGAAAAGAAAGCGGAGGAGAAAAGCAACCGGAGAAATGTAGAGAAAATCTAGATGTACAGAGAGATGATGGACGACAGGAAGGTACAGAGGGGCAGCAAAGAGGGAGGCTCATCAGAGTGAGGGAGAGGAGGAGAGATTTGGAGCCAGGGCAGACAGAGCAGAGTGGTGCTGGTGGCAAGGAGAACAGAGGGAGAATCACAGCAGGGAGGACACCTGGGGATCTGGGGTGCCAGAGAGCGGGGACAGGGGGTATAACAGGGAAGACAGAATTTAACAGGGAAAGCAGAGGAGGAGCAGAGATGGGAGAAGAGGCAGAAATAGATGGAGATTGGGGACTATCTAAAGATTGGGGAGAAGGAGCAACAAGAGGTTAAACAAGATGTGAGGATGGAACCCAGATAATTTTTGTAATTTTAGTAGAGACAGGGTTTCACCATGTTGGCCAAGCTGGTCTTGAACTTCTGACCTCAGGTGATCCACCCGCCTCGACCTCCCAAATTGCTGGGATTACAGGCGTGAGCCACCGCACCTGGCCACTCATGCATTCTTGATTGAAAAAGTTTGCTTATGTCTTAGTTCTACAGCTGACCCTCTTTCCCTGTTTTTTGTTTGTTTTGAGACGCACTTTCACTCTTGTTGCCCAGGCTGGAGTGCAATGGAGCGATCTCACGTCACCGCAAACCTTTTTTTTTTTTTTTTTTTTTTTGAGATGGGAGGTCCCCTCTTGTTGCCCAGGCTGGAGTGCAATGATGCGATCTCGGCTCACTGCAACCTCTGACTTTCTCGTTCAAACAATTCTCCTGCCTCAGCCTCCCTAGTGGCTGGGATTACAGGCATGTACCACCACGCCAGGCTAATTTTGTATTTTTAGTACAGATGGGGTTTCTCCATATTGGTCAGGCTGGTCTCGAACTCCTGACCTTAGGTGATCCGCCGGCATCGGCCTCCCAAAGTGCTGGGATTACAGGCATGAGCCACCAAGCCTGGCCTACTCACTGCAACCTTTACCTCCCAGTTTCAAGTGATTGTCCTGCCTTGGCCTTCCTGAGTAGCTGGAATTACAGGCATGCGTCACCACTTGTAGATAATTTTTGTAGTTTTAGTAGAGATGGGATTTCTCCATGTTGGTCAGGCTGGTCTAGAACTCCCAACCTCAGGTGATGCGCCCGCCTCGGCCTCCCAAAGTGCTGGGATTACGGGTGTGAGCCACTGCACTTGGCCTCTCTGTTTTCAAGGTCACTAGCTGTGTCTTTATACTTCTGCATTTTATAAATGTTACTGTAATTTTCTTGTGAGGAAGAATTAAATGTTGGGAATCAGTGGCATCAGAACCTGACAAAAGAAGTTTCTTTATCCCAGGTATGTGAAAGATGCTTCTCTAAGTTTCAAGGATAATTTTGATAAGGCCAGCCCTTTCCATTAGCGCTTCCAGGCCACCATGTCAGAATTCAGGTACATCTTCTCACTCATCTCAGACCTTCTTAGCGTAACTCATTGAAAATGTCCTTGTTCTGAGGATATCACAGCGAAATCTAAAGCAGGTCATGTCAGTCCCTGGCAGCGAACCCTCCACCGGCTTCCCGTGTTCCCCAGGACAAAAGCCCAGCTCCTCACTGTGGCTCCACAGCCCTGTGTCCAGGGCCCCTGCCAGTGTCCAGCCTCCTCCTGGGAGCTTACCCTCACCTCATGTCTCCCTCTGCCCCAGTCACATTTGCTTTTTCTCTTTTCCCAAACCTCAAAACCCTTCCTGTCTCAGGTTGTTTTCACTGCTCTTACCCTATGTCCCTAAATGCTCACAGCACTGTCCCCTTCTCCTCCTTCAGGTCTTGGCTCAGAAATGTCTCCCATGCTCTCCCACCCCCATCTGAAGTTCCCTCTGCCTGTCAGGCTCTATCACATTACTCAGGTTTTATTATCTCTGCGTCAATCACATCAGAAACATGCTTTTTTTTCTTTTCCCAGAGAGTCTCACTCTGTCCTCCAGGATGTGAATGCAGTCTTGTGATCTTGGTTCACTGTAACCTCTGTCTCCTGAATTCAAGCAATTCTTGTGCCTCAGCCTCTCAGGTAGCTGAGATTACAGGTATGTGCCACCATACCCGGCTAATTTTTGTATTTGTATTTTATTTTATTTTTGAGTCTCACTCTGTTGCCCTGGCTGGAGTCCAGTGGTGCCATCTCGGCTCACTGCGACCTCCACCTTCCAGGTTCAAGTGATCCTGCAACCTCAGCCTCTGGAGTAGCTGGGATTACTGACACCCCACCAAGCCTGGCTACTTTTTGTATTTTTGGTAGATACAGGGTTTCACCATGTTGGCCAAGCTGCTCTCGAACTCCTGACCTCAAATAATCCTCCCACCTCAGCCTTCCAGAGTGCTAGTATTTCAGGCATGAACCATCACGCCCAGCCCAATTTTCGTGTTTTTAGTACAGACAGGGTTTCACCATGTTGGCCAGGCTGGTCTCAAACTCCTGAGTTCTAGTGATCGTCCCACTTCAGCTTCCTAAGTAGCTGGGACCAGAGACACACAGACGTGCACCAACCATACATGGCCAAATTTTTGTATTTTTGGTAGAGATGGGGTTTCCCATGTTGCCCAGGTTGGTCTCAAACTCCTGAGCTCAAGCAATGTACCCACCTTGGCTTCCCAGAGTGCTGGGATGACAGGCATGAGCTACCACACCCAGCCTCTGCACGGGGTTTGGTCAGGGCTGGGTCTGTGCCCTGAAGGGGATCTCATTCCAGCCCGGCTCCTCAATCCTGCAGTGTGTGTGTGGGCTTCTCCAGGAGGGAAGTGAGAGTCTTGTAGAAATGTATCATCCCTGGTGCAGTGGGCAGCAGAGGTGACTGTATTTTTTCAGGGTGAGGGCACCTTTGTATGTGTCATTGTGTTACAGGGAGGAAGTGTGTTGATTCTGAGCAATAAACAACATATTTCTAACATTCAGGATTGACTTCTAAAGACTCTTGGTACGTGAGGAAAAAACACGGAAGAGGAAAGCAAAAGGTCAGGGATGGCTATTCCTCAGGTGAGATGATATTCTCGGTGGATTGTTCTGTTCTTTCCTTTCAGAAACCCTGGGCCTTGGTGTTGTGAATCTTCTCTGAGTCTCAAGTGTCCTCCCTGACAGGTTTGCTCACACTCACCCATGCCTTCCCTCAGTCCCTCTCATCTTGTTCACAGGGTGAGGGTCCCATGGTGTCAGTGCTGTTTGGCAGTGGGGATTGTTCAGGGGCCACATCTGGATGCTCTGTCAGTTCTCTGTAGATCAGGATTAGAGCAGCTGCCAATGGAAGTCACATATTCATATGCACAAAGTACGTGGTAAATTCTAGAAAAGGAGACCAATAAGGGAAAATCTTTTCTCCCTGATTTTATACTAAATTTTTCAGTAATTGAGTGAGTTGCTGTGTTTCTGACTCAAAAAATCTTAGTACTTAGAATGGGAAATTCATACACAGACATGAATGATACAGGGGTTTTATTCCATCATTATTTTAAGAATATGAAGTCAACCTAAATAACAGCAGGAGATTGATTAAACCATTCTTAACAAATTAACCTGATGGAGACAGTGGTGTTACTGTGGAGAGTCTTGTGAAACAGGTGTTTTTTGTAAAACTGGTTACAATTTTTCTGAAGTATAGGAGCAGTACTTCTAGCTGCCAAAGTATCCTTTTCCACCAAAATGAGGTTCCTCTTCAGTTAAACAAAACTTGCTACTTTTTATATTTTTAAAACCTTTATATATATACACATATATACATACACATACATATATACACATATGTATGTATTTTGAAAATATTGCATACTTTGAAAATCTGGGACAAATGACCACACTTTGTATTAACATGTAGTTTTTTGTGAGTGTGTGTAGGTTTTATTATTTTTTGAACATATACAGAATAGAGTTTTGTACTTTAATTAATCTTATTTTCATGTATTTTATTTTATTTTGAGATGGAGTCTTCCTTTGTTGCCCAGGCTGGAATGCCTTGGCGCAATCGTAGCTCACTGAAACCTCCACCATCAGAGTCAAGCCATCCTCCCACCTCAGCCTTCCAAGTAGTTGGGACAACAGGTGCCTGCCACCATGCCCAGCTAATTATTTACTTCTAACATAAGAAATTCATACTGAGAGGGTATCCTGACCTCTTCAAAAAGTGTAATCAAACACCACTGGGAAGACATTATGTGGTGGAAAATCCCTCACTTGGATTTGTCAGAACATTCCTACAACTGAATCCACGCTTTCCCCTCTCTCCTCTTCTCATTTTCTGTAGAGATAAGAACTTCTCCCATAGCCATTTTGTTAAAATGTGTTTTCCTTTCAGGGTCTACTGACATTCAGGGATGTGGCCATAGAATTCTCTCAGGAGGAGTGGAAATGCCTGGACCCTGCTCAAAGGACTCTATACAGAGACGTGATGCTGGAGAATTATAGGAACCTGGTCTCCCTGGGTGAGGATACCTTCCCTCCAGAAGTGGGGATGTGCCCTTTTGTATCTTTGTATTTTCTCTTGTTGCCTCCTGGGAGCCCCATCCTTGCTTGACTAATGTGGAAATCATGTTGATTTTGAAATGAAAAGCTTCATGATGTAGCACTGTCCCCTTTGTTTAGATGTTTTGCATTCTTCATGATAGCTCGGGGGTGTTCCAGAGTAAAGTAAGCATAAAACCTTATGGCAGACCAGGCATGGTGGCTCACGCCTGTCATCCCAGCACCTTGGGAGTCTGAGGTGTGTGGATCACTTCAGGTCAGGAGTTCAAGATCAGCCTGGCCAACATGGAGAAATCCCATCTCTACCAAAAACACAAAAATTAGCCAGGCGTGGTAGTGCATGCCTGTAATCCCAGCTCCTAGAAAGGCTGACAAAGGAGAATCGCTTGATCCCAGCAGGCCAAGGTTCCAGTGAGCTGAGAACACACCATTGCACTCCAGCCCGAGTGACAGAGCAAGACTCTGTCTCAAAAAACAAAAACAAAAACAAAACCTTCTGGCATACTTTAAAGATATCCAGTTCCCTGTTTGCTTTTCCTGTGCTTTCGATTCAGTAGTTCTTGGAAGGGAACTCGATGTCCACATATCACATATTACAATGCTCCCCAAGCATTCAGAAGGAGGCAGTCAGCGGAGCAATCAGTGAAATATTTTCCTAGATCATCTGCAATGTCTTCTTTCCTACTGAAACATAGGGCTGGGACTCTAGAAAAGCTCCAGCACGTCACAGTCCTTTCTTTTTATAAGCAGGAATCTCTTGCTGATCTGCTGTCTCCATGTTGGAGCGAGAAAAAGAGCCCTGGACTGTGGAGAGTGAAGTGAAAATAACAAAAAAATCCAGCTGGGTGGGAATGTATTACAGGTGTAAAGGCAGGTAAGAGCTCAGATGGGCAGAGTGGAAGCTCCACCTTCCAATAGTGTATGGGGAAACTCTGCAAGTGGGAGAATTCTGTGGGAAAAGGAAAGTTTCTATCCTGAGATCTCTGAAATAACATCTTTCTTTGCCCCCTCTTATCCCTCTGCTCTTCCTTTCTTTTTCTTATTTTATGAAAGAGTCTCAGTCTGTTGCCCCGACTACAGTGCAGTGGTATGATCTTGGCTAACAGCAGCCTCTGCCTCCCAGGCTCAAAGGATTTTTGTGTTCCAGCTTCCTGAGTAGCTGGGACTGCAGGCACTCACCACCATGCCCAGCTGATTTTTATGTTTTCAGTAGAGACAGGGTTTCATCATGTTGGCCAGGCTGGTCTCAAGTGATCCACCTGCTTTGGCTTCCCAAAGTGTGGGCCTAAGATTACCTAGTTGCTGAGGCAAGAGACTAAAGGCACAAACTGTTTCAGTATAATAAAGAAAATAGTTAAAATAAGAATAGTCATAATATAAATTAGATATAGAGATGATCATGGCAATTGTCAATCATTATTATAAACATTATTAATCATTAGCTTTTAATATTACTCTTTGTTGCATTACTAATATAACCTAGGACTAGCTGGCAGGTATAGGGTCAGGTGCTGAAGGGACATTGTGAGAAGTGACCTAGAAGGGAAGAGGTGAGCCTTCTGTCACACCCGCATAAGGGCCGCTTGAAGCAGTTCCTTGGTGAAGCAGTAGCGCCAGTGTCTGGGAAGGCCCCCGTTACTCAGCAGACTATGAAAGGGAGTCTCCTTTCCTTGGAGGAGTCAGGGAACGCTCTGCTCCACCAGCTTCTTGTGGAAGGCTGGATATGATCCAGGCCTGCCCGCAGTCATCCGGAGGCCTAAACCCCTCCCTGTGGTGCTGTGCTTCAGTGGTCACGCTCCTTGTCCACTTTCATGTTCCTCCGGTACTCCTGGTTCCTCTTTGAAGTTCATAGTAGATAGTGGTAGAATAAGCAGTGAAAGTCTTAAAGTCTTTGATCTTTCTTATAAGTGCATAGAAGAAAACGCCGATGTATGCTGGCTTCTCTCTCTCTACTTCGGCTACATAAGAGGCAAGCGCCCACTGTCCTCTGATCACGTGACTTGCTTCACCTTGTCAATCACCTAGAAGATTCACCCTCCTTACCCTGCCCCTTGTCTTGTATGCAATAAACATTAGAGTGCCCAGCCATTTCGGCTGCTACGGGTCTCGGCGTCTTGATGGTAGTGGTCCCCCGGCCCAGATGTTTTCTCTTTATCTCTTTGTCTTGTGTCTTTATTTATTACAGCCTCTCATCTCCACACACGGGGAGAACACCCGGTAAGCTCCATAGGGCTGGACCCTACACCAAAGCGCTGGGATTACAGGCGTGAGCCGCCATGCACAACTATTGTTATTATTTTAAATAGTTTTGTCTTTTAGTTCTCTGTAAACATGTAAGTGGTTTAAGCATGATTCCAGTGTGAATATAGTAACCACGTTAGTGTCCATTTCTTTCTTTTTGTTTTTTTAGTTGGAGTCTCGCTCTGTCGCCCAGGCTGGAGTGCAGTGGCGCGATCTTGGCTCACTGCAAGGTCCGCCTCCAGGGTTCACGCCATTCTCCTGCCTCAGCCTCCTGAGTAGCTGGGACTACAGGCGCCCACCACCACGCCAAGCTATTTTTTTTTTTTTTTTGTATTTTTGGTAGAGACGGGGTTTCACCGTGGTCTCGATCTCCTGACCTCGTGATATACCCACCTTGGCCTCCCAAAGTGCTGGGATTACAGGCGTGAGCCACCGTGCCTGTTTGTGCCCATTTCTTTCAGTAAACAGAAGTTAAGTGTGTTGTATAAATAAAATAAAAAGGTATGAAAAACACTGTACTTATATATTACCAGAAATGCAACATACACAGAAATAATTCTGACAAAAATAAAAATAGTTATAGAGGAGTAGTAGTTTTGAGAAGTGGTTATTGTTGCAGGTATGTTAAAGATCTTAAAGTTATAGCATAATAATGAAACTTAAACTTTTCATAACCTGGCCAGGTGTAGTGGCTCATGCCTATAATTCCAGCACTCTGGGAGGCCGAGGTGGCGTTCAAATCCAGCCTGGCTAACATGGCGAAACTTCATCTGTACTAAAATTACAAAAATTATCCAGGCACAGTGGTGGGTGGCAGTAATCCCAGCTACTTAGGTGACTGAGGCACGAGAGTTGTTTGAACCCGGGAGGTAGAGGTTGCAGTGAGCTGAGATTGCATCTTTGCACTCCAACATGGGAGACAGAGTAAGACCCTATCTCAAAAAAAAAGTTTCATAACCTGCAAAAACTACTTCTCTAGAACTTTTTAAATTTTTGTCAGAATTATTTCTGTGTATGTTGCATTTCTGGTAACATATATGTAGTGTTTTTTCATTTTAAATAATATTATAAAAGTTTAGTTCTGAACAAAAGGTACACATATGTCAGTTTCTGTATCTGTCCTCTTATTAATTAATTTATGTATTTATGAGACAGAGTTTTGCTCTTGTTGCCCATGCTGGAGTGCAATGCTGCAATCTCAGCTCACCACCACAACCTCCACCTCCAACCAATTCTCCTGCCTCAGCCTCCTGAGTAGCTGGGATTGCAAACATGCGCCACTACACCCAGCTAATTTTGTATTTTTAGTAGAGGAAGGGTTTCTCCTTGTTGGTCACGCTGGTCGCGAACACCTGACCTCAGGTTATCCACCTGGCTCGTCCTCCCAAAGTGCTGGGATTACAGGTGTGAACCACCATGCCTGGCCTGTTTTGTTTTTTTTTTAATTTATCTTTACTGGTGAACTTCATATATGTTTGTGGGTTGGAGTTACTCTTTAGACTTCTTTCATTTCTTTTTTTTTTTTTTGAGACAAAATCTCAGTCTGTCACCTAGTCTAAAGTGTAGTGGTGTGATCTTGGCTCTTGGCTTACTGCAACCTCCACCTCCCAGGTTCTAGCAATTCTCTAGTCTCAGCCCACAAAGTAGCTGGAACTACAGGTGAGTGCCAACATGCTGGGATAATTTTTTGTATTTTTTAGTAGAGACAGCGTTTCATCTTGTTAGCCAGGATGGTCTAGATCTGCTGACCTCGTGATCCTTCTGCCTCAGCCTCTCAAAATGCTGGGATTACTGGTGTAAGCCACCGTGCCCGGCTCATCTGAAGGTTTTTTTTTTAACACATTAGTGCTATTAGATGGCTTCAAGGATTGCAAGTTTTACAGTACAGACTCTTAACTTCCTTTGTTTAATAAGATTTGTCAGCTTTTGGTGATGTTGATGATGAGATGCTCCTGTTCCTGTCTCAGTCATTTCACTGTCCTGTCAGAAATAATTTAGACTGGCCAGCTGCCGTGGCTCACACCTCTAATCCCAGCACTTTGGGAGGCCCAGGTGGGTAGATCACTTGAGGTCAGGAGTTTGAGACCAGTCTGGCCAATGTGGTAAAGCATCGAATGTACTAAATGCCAAAAATGGGCCAGGCACAGTGGCTCCCAGTAATCCCAGCAGTTTGGGGGGCTGAGATGGACCAATTACTTGAGGTCAGGAGTTTGAGACAAGCCTGGCCAATATGGTGAAACTCTCTCTACTAAAAATACAAAACTTAGCTGTGCATTGTGGCAGGTGCCTGTAATCCCAGCTACTTGGGAGGCTGAGGCAGGAGAATCACTTGATCTGCACAGCAGGTGGAGGTTGCTGTGAGCCAAGATCACTCCACTGCACTGCAGCCCATGCAACAGAGTGAGACTCTGGGCTGAGGAGGGAGGATCACTTGAGGTAGGAGAATCCTGCCAGTACACTCCAGCCTGGGTGATAGAGCGTGACTCCATCTCAAAAATAAACAAAAAAGGAAATAGCTTAAACTGAGAGGCTTCAGACACAGAAACTTATTTCTCATGAATTTGGAAAGTGGGAAATCCAAGAGCAAGGTGCCAGCCAAATTGGTTCCTGGTGAGAGCCTTCTTCATGGTTTAGCCCAGTCATCTTCCTGCCATGTCCTGACATGGTGGAAAGAGGAACCATGGTAGAAAGAGCTCTTTAATGTCTCTTCATAAAGGTACTAGTTCTATTAACGAGTTGTAAACACTCATGACTAAATTCTTTCAAAGTCTGCATCTGCAGGAACATCCTATTAAAGAATACCAAATATACCAAAGCTTATTTGAAAAGTAGTTATTTATCTTATTTTTTGAGATGGAGTCTCATCCCGTCTCCCTGTCTGGAGTGCTCTGCCACGATCTTGGCTCACTGCAGCCTCTGCCTTCCAGGTTCAAACGATTCCTGCCTCAGCCTCCCAAGTAGCTGGGATTACAGGCACCATCCACCATGCCCAGCTAATGTTTTTGTATTTTTAGTAGATATGGGTTTGCACCATGTTGGCCAGGCTGGTCTCGAACTTCTGACTTCGTGATTCACCCACCTCGGACCTCCAAAGTGCTGGGATTACAGGCATGTGCCACTGTGCCTGGACATTAGTTAATTCTTATTCCTTATAGTGCTGTGTATATTTTTGACCTAATAAATCAGAAAGTAGTGATATTAACATGTATTTCAGCTCTTATGTTGTGTACTGGTGGTAAGTACAAGTTATGGCTTTTTTCTTAATGGGGAATTGTGTACAATTCTGCAGGCTGTATACATGTACTTATTATTTTCTGACTTCTTTTATCAAGGGTTACAATATTTCATTAACTGATTTTCATGACTTTACCTGTGAGTTTTCGGTATGTGATATGCAATGTAACTGACACACTCCACTTGTTAATGTCACAAAGTGCTGCCTGGCACAGTGGCTCCTGCCTGTAATTCCAGGACGCCAGGCATGGTGGTGCGTATCTGTAATCCCAGGTACCCAGCAGGCTTAGAAAAGAGACTTGCTTGAACCCAGGAGGCAGAGGCTGCAGTGAACCAAGCTCATGCCATTGCACTCTGGCCTGGGTGACAGAGCGAGACTCCATCTCAAAAAAATAAAAATTCAAAAAAATTTTTAAAAAGTCACAAAGTGCCTGTTGCACATGAATATAGGTAATTTTGTAACAGTTATTTAGAAAAATGTGGTATTAACATTTTTCTTTTTTGAGATGTGGTCTCACTCTGTCACCCAGGGTGGAGTGCAGTGGCACGATCTCAGCTCACTACAATCTTGGCCTCCCGGGTTCAAGCAAATCTCCTGTCTCAGCCTCCCAAGTAGCTTGGATTACAGGTGCCCGCCATCACGCCCGCCTACTTTTTGTATTTTTAGTAGAGAAGGGGTTTTACCATGTTGGCGAGGCTGGTCTTGAACTCCTGACCTCGGGTAATTTGCCTGCCTCAGTCTCCTAAAGTACTGGGATTACAGGTATGAGCCATCATGCCCTGCCTTGTTTCTTTTGAGGTGGAGTCTCACTTTTCACCCAGGCTGGAGTGCAGTGGTGTGATGTTGGTACACTGCAACCTTTACCTCTTGGCTTAAAGCAATTCTTGTGCATTAGCCACTTGAGTAGCTGGGACTACAGGCGTGGGCCACCGCACCTGCCTAATTTTTGTAATATTTTCTTCTCAGTGCTATGATTGTTTGACAATATAGAAATTGCTTTGGTTTTGATTATCCTTACGAGAGATTATTGTGGATTATTAAAAAATATAATACCTTGTCTGTTTTTTTTAGCATTTATTTGTATACAGTAAATACCCTATAAATATGGAGAATATATATTTTTCTCCTCTTTGATGTGACAGTGATATGTTTTTTGCAAATTGTGACACACTTTAGGGTCACAGTGGAAAAATACTCCTTACTTTAGGCTTACACATGTTTGTGCCCTGTCAGTGTTTTGTCATGATATTGGAAAGAGGCTGCAGTAAAAATGATTTGAAGAATATGTAATCGCCCATTATTTATTAAAAAATCTTACCCCTTTTGTGTTCCTAAACTTTGAAGATCATGTTTGAGAAGTTTAAAATAAGTATTGTTTTTTGTGTCATATTTACACATTTCAATATTGTGTAACTTCTGTACTTAATTGGAAACCTATTGGTGTTTATATTTTGTAGCTATCTCTTCCAAATGCATGATGAATATGTTCTCATCAACAGGGCAAGGCAATACAGAAGTGATCCACACAGGAACATTGCAAAGACAAGCAAGTCATCACATTGGAGATATTTGCTTCCAGGAAATTGGGAAAGATATTCATGACTTTGTGTTTCAGTGGCAAGAAAATGAAACAAATGGCCATGAAGCACCAATGCCAAAAATAAAAATGTTGATGAGTAGTACAGACCGATATGATCAAAGGCTTGCTGGAAATAAGCCTATTAAAGATCAGCTTAGATCAAGCTTTCATTCTCATCTGCCTGAACTGCACATATTTCAGCCTGAAGGGAAAATTGGCAATCAAGTTGAGAAGCCTATCAATGATGCTTTCTCAGTTTCAGCATCCCAAAGAATTTCCTGTAGGCCCAAAACCCATATTTCTAATAAGTATGGGAAGAATTTCCTTCATTCTTCATTACTCATAGAAAAACAGGAAATACACATGAGAGAAAAATCTTTCCAATGTAATGAGAGTGGCAAAGCCTTTAATCATAGCTCACTCTTTAAAAAACATCAGATAATCCATTTAGGAGACAAACAATATAAGTGTGATGTATGTGGCAAGGTCTTTCATCAGAAGCGATACCTTGCATGCCATCATAGATGTCACACTGGTGAGAAACCTTACAAGTGTAATGAGTGTGGCAAGACCTTCAGGCAGAATTCAGGCCTCTTAGTTCACAAGGCAATTCATACTGGAGAGAAACCTTACAAGTGTAATGAATGTGGCAAGGTTTTTAATCAACAATCAAACCTTACACGTCATCATAGACTTCATACTGGAGAGAAACCTTACAAATGTGAAGAATGTGACAAAGTTTTCAGTCGCAAATCACATCTTGAAAGACATAGGAGAATTCATACTGGAGAGAAACCATACAAATGTAAGGTTTGTGACAAGGCTTTCAGACGTGATTCACACCTGGCACAACATCAGAGAGTTCACACTGGAAAGAAACCTTACAAGTGTAATGAGTGTGGCAAGACCTTCGTTCAAAATTCATCTCTTGTAATGCATAAGGTCATTCATACTGGAGAGAAACCTTACAAGTGTAATGACTGTGGCAAGACCTTTGTTCAAAATTCATCTCTTGTAATGCATAAAGTCATTCATACTGGAGAGAAACCTTACAAGTGTAATGAATGTGGCAAGGTTTTTAATCGAAAATCAAACCTTGAATGTCATCATAGACTTCATAGTGAAAAGAAATCTTATAAACGTAATTAATTTGCAAGGTTTTTAGGCAACAATCAAACCTTGCCTGTCATCACAGACTTTATACTGGAGAGAAACTTTACAAATGTGAAGAATGTGACAAAGTTTTCAATTTCAAATCACGCCTTGAAATACATAGGAGAGTTCATACTGGAGAGAAATAATAGATATGTAAGGTTTGTGACAAGGTTTTCAGGTGTGAGTCACACCTGGCACAACATACTGGAATTCACACTGGAAAGGAACTGTACAAGTGTAATGAGTGTGGCAAAGCCTTTAGTGGTCAGTTACAAATGTAATGATTGTCACAAAGTCTTCAGTAACACTACAACCATTGCAAAACATTGGAGCATCCATAATAAAGAGAGGTCTTACAAGCATAATAAGTGTGGCAAGTTTTTCAGACATCATTCACACCTTGCAGTTCATGGGCGATCCTGTACAGGAGAGAAACCTTACAAATGTGATGATTATGGCAAGGTCTTCAGTCGAGCTTTATCTTTTGCAAAACATAGGAGAATTCATACAGGAGAGAAACCTCACAAATATGATGATTGTGGCATAGTCTTTTTTTTTTTTTTTTTTTTTGAGACTGAGTCTGGCTCTGTCGCCCAGGCTGGAGTGCAGTGGCCGGATCTCAGCTCACTGCAAGCTCCGCCTCCCGGGTTTACGCCATTCTCCTGCCTCAGCCTCCAGAGTAGCTGGGACCACAGGCGCCCGCCACCTCACCCGGCTAGTTTTTTGTATTTTTTAGTAGAGACGGGGTTTCACCGTGTTAGCCAGGATGGTCTCGATCTCCTGACCTTGTGATCCGCCCGTCTCAGCCTCCCAAAGTGCTGGGATTACAGGCTTGAGCCACCGCGCCCGGCGGCATAGTCTTTACTTCACCTTCACACCACATTAGATATCAGAGGGTCCATACTGGACAGAAAGTTTACAAATGTCATATGTGTGACAAGGTCTTCAGTCTGATGTTACTCCTTGCAGAATATCAGAACGTTCATTTTTGAGGTAATAGTTACAAATGCAATGAGCATAGCAAACCATCAAGGATTAATTGACAGTAGAGTCAATTCAGCATTGACTTGAGTTTGAGTTGACTTAAAACATTGAGTTCAAGCATTAATTGACATTAAAGTGTTTATATTAAGAGGATTGGGCCAGGTGCGATGGCTCACGCCTGTAATCCCAGCACTTTAGGAGCCCGAGGTGGGTAGATCACTTGAGATCATGAGTTTGAGACCAGCCTAGCCAACAGACGTGAGTCACTTTTCCCAGCCTGCTTTTTGTTTCTTTAACAAAAACCGATAGGGATATGAGTATTGTGTTGAATCTGGATCACACTGGGTTACGTAATAATTTAGCAATATTAATTTTTCCAAACCATCAATATGAGTTGTATCTCTATATATGTTTTTAATCATTTGGGTTAATGTTTGTAGATTTCAAGGTACAAAATTCTCAGTTTTTAACGTTTATTCCTAAGTATTTCTCACTTTAAGATCTCTAGCAAATGGAAGTGTTTTTAAATTTTCGTTTAAAAGTGTTTTTTGTTAATATATGGAAATTCAACTAATTTTTGGTGCTGATACTGTACTGTGCAAATCCACCGAATCCATTAGTATTTTGGTTGACTCAGGCCCCGCCCACCTCTTCCCCTCACGTTCTGGCCTGATCCAGGCCCCGCCCACCTCTACCCCTGGTCTGGCTTCTGCCCTGCGCTGATTGGCACAGACCCGGAAGCTGATGGCATGGACTGAAGGTTGTACCGTGGAGTTTGAGCTTCCCAGTTCTCTGGTGCTGCTATACCGGGGACGTGGGGTCCCCACAGACCTGGAAATTCTGCCCCCTCTTTCTCAACTCAGAGAAAATTGAGAAGTCCGGCTGAGAGTCCATGAGTCGCTTCCTTTTGATTTTAAAGTCTCCCTGAGGCTGGTCCCGTCCCTGTCTTTCTGTGGGGCGGTGCAGACACCTCCTGTCGCGAAACTTTCCTTCTAAAAACCCTTCCGACCCATCCTCCCGCCTCCTGCTGTTTTTTTTTTTTTTTTTTTTTTTTGAGACGGAGTCTCGCTCTGTCGCCCAGGCTGGAGTGCAGTGGCGCGATCTCGGCTCACTGCAAGCTCCGCCTCCCGGGTTCACGCCATTCTCCTGCCTCAGCCTCCCGAGTAGCTGGGACTACAGGCGCCCACAACCGCGCCCGGCTAATTTTTTGTATTTTTAGTAGAGACGGGGTTTCACCGTGGTCTCGATCTCCTGACCTTGTGATCCGCCCGCCTCGGCCTCCCAAAGTGCTGGGATTACAGGCGTGAGCCACCGCGCCCGGCCCTCCTGCTGTTTCAAGTCCTCACCATCACCCTCGAGCTGGACTCTCACCCTGGGCGCCTTCCAGCCTTGCTCTCTTCAGCTCCTGGAGCGCAGCGCTGCAGCCCCAGTCCCGGGGAGACCACGTTCTCTATGTGGTCCTGAGATCCTGCAGACCCCACCCCTGTCCGAAGGCGCCATCGCCCCCCACCTCCCTCCTCGTACCCAGCCCTGCTTCTCCCCAGTTCCAACTCCTGGAAAACGTGCTCCTGCTGGAGGCAACCCTGTTTTTCCACCCTCTCCCTGTTGTTCCCGGAAGGCAGGCCTGGAGTGTGAAGTTTCCAGGTTCTTGGATATTAAACATAATTGAAAAACAAACAAACAAACAAAAACACAAAGTAACAAAAGAATGAAGCAGCGAAAGCAGAAATTTAATCAAGAAAGCACTCCACAGGGTGGGAGTGGGCCCGAGTGAGCGTCTCCATGGCCCCGTTTACAAAGTTTTTAGAGGTTAAAGTTTTTTGTTGTTGTTGTTTTTAAGGTCCCTATGGGCTACCCCGTATCTGGATGAAGGATTTGGCCCTTGGCCAACGAAATACTGAGGTGAATTCGCCTGAGACCAGAGCAGATGGGTGCCCTACGCAGAGTAAGTGGTGGCCAGTGCTTGGCTGTGGCCACTCCTGGGCTCTTGCTCTTTCCATCTGATACCTGGTGGAAGGGGGAGGGCGCTAGGGAGAGCAGCCTTTGATCCTTTGTTACTTCTGGTGGGAAGATGGGGTTTTTCCTTTTAGTCTAGTTTTGGAAAGTTCACGTTAATTGGTTTTAGATTCCTTATTTATTTATTTATTTATTTTTTGGGATATCGGGGTCTCACTCTGTTACACAGGTGGGAGAGCAGTGATAGCATCACAGCTCACTGCAGCGTCAACCTCCTGGGCTCAAGGGATCCTCCCACCTCAACCTCTAGAGTAGCCACGCGCCACCACGCGCCACCACACCGTGATAATTTTTGTGTTCTTGGTAGAGACAGGCTTTTGCCTTGTTGTCCAGGTCGGGCTCCAACTGCAGGGCTAAAGTGATCCTGGAGCATCGGCCTCCTTCAGTGCTGGAATGACAGGCTTGAGCCACCATGCCCGCCTTATTTCTTGGTTTTTAAAAAATATACATATAGGCCGTGCGCAATGGCTCATGCCTGTCATCCCAGCACTGTGGGAGGCCGATTCTCGTCTATCCAGGAGACAGGTTTCACCATGTTGCCCAGGTTAGTCTCAAACTCCTCAGCTTAACTGATCCGGCTTAACTGATCCGCTTGCTTGGGCTTTCCAAAGTGCTGGGACTACAGGAGTGAGCCACCACACGTGGCCAGTCCTGGAATTTTCTAGAGGAGGATGACCAACGCAGCCTATGGACCCTTCCTGGCCATCACATGAAGACCAGCGACTCCTCCTTCCAAAACTCAGAGCTTCTCAGGATGACTTGGGGAAACGTCCCCCGCTGTGAACCTCGGTGAGCCCGCCTGTAACATACAGGTGAGGGAGAAGACCAGAAAAGCTCAGTCAGAGTGACACTGACCCTGAAATGATGGGCAAAATGGAGTGTGTGGCTTTTCCTGTAGGAGAGGGTGATGCTTAGTTGTAATTTGAATTTTAAATGGATTCCAGTCCTCCGAAAAACAGGTGATTAGACTCAAATCACCTTGAACCTTTTCATCTCATGGCTTTAACCCACCTACATGGCTCCATGTCCCTTGCAGTCCTCTCCCCTGAGCTCTACAGTCCTGTGCCCAGTTCTCTCCTCTCTCTCCTGGGACATCAAACAGGCGTCTCCACCTTCACATGTCCATAAGTGACTTCCTAAACCCCCAAACATTCCCTTGCAGTCCTACACGTCTCAGATGAGGGCGACAATGTACTTCTAGTGGCTTAGCTGAGGTCGACACCATGTATTTTAAATATAGGAAATACATTATTTGTAAGTGTTGTAATTTATAAGGTAAAGAGAAAATTATATGTACACATGAAAGGAGTGAGAAAATACATCATTTCCAAATTTCTTTTGAGGTGTGGGGGAAAAATATTTCAAGACCTCAACCTTAGGGATCTGTGCTCCCAGGACCCCTCTGACTTCATCTCCTGCCTGCGTCCTCCTCACTTCATCTGCTCCAGCCATACAGGCCTCCAGCCATACGGCTCAAGCCATACAGGCCTCTTTCTTTTTTCTGGGACTGAGGTTGCTCCTGTCTCAGGGCCTTCTGGGCTGTCCCTCTGCCTAGTACTCTGGCCCTGCAGCTGCAAGTGACAAGCAGCCTTTCTTCCCTAAGTCTTTGTTCTGACATCACTTTCTCTATGGAAACCTTTGTGATCTCCTACAGTCCCCCATTTGACATGGCAGCCCCACCTTCACCCCCACCTCTGGTCCATGTTGCCTGTTCTGTGTGATTCTTTTTGCTCCTTTACTGTTCACTGGATTCTGGTGAGAACAAGTCACCAAGGGGAGAGCAGAGCCAGAAGGTGGGGCTGTGCTGGGCTGGCACCCTCTGAGTGGAGCTCAACCCTGACTTTACATGAGGGTTCTCAGACATTTTGCAAATACATGTTTTATGCTGTTTTATCAGAGATTGCTATTATCATAGGATGGGACCCACCCTCAATAATACTTATAATGGCGCTGGTGATTCTCATCTGTGTCCAGCATTGAACGTCAAGGCAGTTTCCTCCATGTTGAGAGCTGAGATCAGCCTGTGATCCACAGGGAGGTGAGGGGGCTGTGCTCTGTGTGGGGTTTGGTTAGTGCCAGATCTGTGCCCTGAAGGTCTGTGCCCTGCTGCAGCGTGTGTGTGTGTGGACTTTTCCAGGGAGGGGGGAGTGGAATCTAAAAACAAGTCAAAATTACCCTTGTAGATCTTCCTGTGGGACATTGTTATCTCTGCGTAATCTCTGGTGCAGTGGGCAGCAGAGGACTTTTCCCGGGTCAGGTGTCCCCTGTGTGTGCGTGTTTTGTCACAGGAAAGGAATGAGTGATTTCTAAACACTAAATCTCGGCTGGGTGCAGTGGCTCACATCAATCCTGAGTCTTTGGGAGGCCT